TTATGTAGACTTTTCAACCAAGTGATATAGTATCTTATTTAACATCAACTTATTTGATACTCAAACATGGTGAATACTGCTTTCCCCTATTTAGTGACTATAGGGTTCTTACAAATTGCACTTAAACCAATATATTTTAGCTGAATAATACGGTGCTACGAGGTCATAGGATCCTGCATTATTATTAGTTTAATGTCTATTGGATGAAAATTTGTCCCAACAGTCAACAAAGCTACCACCAATTAGGCAGGGGATCAGAGCTGCTATCATATAGTTTTTTCAAGGTCATGAAAATAGATACCATTAAGCAATTTATCCAGCATCCTAACGTGTTAAGAATCATTCTATGCCCACTGTCTGCAGCATTACACATGCGTTTTCTCTCTTTATTGTGATGATCAGCTATCAGTCAGCAACAGAAGTGTTTGTTTTCTTCTAATCTTAACAAATACAATTGTAGGTTTAAATAACAATTGTACCCTAACCTTTATAGATCTATATTTTCCTTCTTTCAAATTAATATTATTGACAAAATTGGGGCCCTGAGATGATGTTTTTCCTCAAAAAAAGTGTAATATAGTAGAAGTTAACAACTGATGACACCATATTGATGCAAATTTGTTGGGTTGCTGCTAGGTTAATTAATAATTATTTTCTTCTTCCAACTAGACTTATGGTTATTAAGGCAGCAGATTACTTCTTTTTGCTTAAAAAGGTTAAGCTGATGAAACAAAATTGGAAATTTGATTTTTTTCTTTTTTGTATTTATTTATTTGCTTCCAAGTATTTGCATCTTTTGAAACTTCTGCCATGATTACTTCAGATTGACAGATCCTGTATTGCTTTGAAATTGTTTCCGGAACTAATTGATATGTTGTTGCACCAGCTTACCGGAGACCTGGACAAGATGGTTGCATTGCAGAGATTGTTAGAACCATATGGCATTTGTGAGGTATGTTGTATAAGTCTTTTCACCTTGTCATATTTTGCTAAGACAGTTGATTTGTTTAAATACCTTATTCCATAGATTTCCAGAATTGAATTTGGTGCATTTGCTGCCTTAAATGTATCTCTCGATTCTGTCCAAGATTGTTCATTTAGATGCTTTTATTTTGTTCTGACGTTTTCTATTGTTTAAGAGCATTATCCATTGTTTAAGAGCATCTGCAATGAGGGTTGCTTATAAACAACCTTATTGCAGATGCTCTAACAAGCCAGAATACCGGTGGAAAGAAAGATGGTCTTGGTTTAAGGCAGTTAGCACACCTCACTTATAGCAAACTACATGCCATTGTTGATTTTATTAAGCAGTTAGCACACTGATAGACATTATTTCAAAAACAAAATACTGAGTATTCAAAGGAGTAATATTTTGAGTATATATATTTTATTAAAATATAAAAACTGTAGAATATATATGAAAAATATACCACAATGAATAAGTATTTTTGTGACTGTATAGATTAAATAATAAATATATAATGAAATTAATATTAAATAATTTTTTAATATTTGTTTACACTGTATAAAAAGATATTTATATTATATCTGAAATTCGTAAAAACCTTCTCTGAAGTCTAAATGATTTTGTCTTTATAACAAGCAGAGGTATATGAACCTTTAAATTTTAGTAAATTAAGATCATGATGCACTTTAAATTTAATCGAGTTAATATAGTGCACTTATTCACTTTGAGTCTTGTGACATATAATCGGATTGGACCCAACTGGATGGTTCAGCCTTGTTTTTAGACTATGGTTTTTGCACAGCTAGCTCTGTTTATTACTTGAATCCAGTCTTTATGATGTTTGTTTATGATTGTTTGAGGTGGCACGAACTGGGCGCATTGCTCTAGTCCGCGAGTCAGGTGTGGACTCCAAGTACTTGCGTGGATACTCTTTTCCTTTATAATCTCTTCACCTGGGTGGAAGGACCTTCTAAGTCTTCGCTTGTAGAGCTTGTACTTTCCCTTATGCCATTTGCCTTCTAAGTTACCATGTTAAGTCTTTCAGCTATTTGCAAATCTAGGCTTGGGATTGACTAATTTTGCTGTAAAGTGGGTTCTAGATATTTAAATTCGTTTGGATATAACAAAAATTAGTTTTTATGTAGTAAATGAATTTTAAATGGAAAAAAAAAACTGTTGAAAAATAATCACAAGTTTCAAATCTTCAAATTCATTATTAAAAAAAACTAGAAAAAATTGTTTATAAATTTCAATTAGTTTTTCAAACAATCAGCTTATTCTCCAAAATAGCTGAAATTTGGAAAAATCGTCTTTTCCAGACACACTTTCTATTGAATTTGTTAGTTTTAATATATAAAATATAAAATAATTTTAATTGTAAAATATTTATGATAAATTTTAATATTATTCTATTATAACAAATTTTAAAATTAATCATGCATTTTATGATTCAAGACATATTTTTTAGTTATTAATAATGAATATGTGTTTTAATATATTTTTGCTAATTATATAAATTACTTCTTCATGAATCGCAAGATTCATAATACTATTCGTGATTTAAAAAAAAAAAATTATACATGATTTGTATCTCAATTCAACTATCATTTAATATAAATCCAAGTTTTATGTTGGTTATGAATTTGGATATTATACATCCCAAATGGCAAGTGAATATATATATATATATATATATATATATATAATATGTAAAATAAAATAAGTATATTTCAATGTATATTTATTGTTATGTTACATTTAAATGCAAATATAATCTTTAATTTAAATTACAAATTTAATTTTGTGTATGAGATAATATGGTTTTTTTTTAAGAAAGTCTATGATAAATTTTTATTCAAATATATAATATAAAAATGTAAAAATATAACTATATTTAAATGTATGTTTATTGTTATTTTTTGCTTAATTAAATATTATTATATACATTTAAATACAAATTTAATTTTTAATTTAAATTACAAATATGATTTGTTTGAGATAATATGGTTATTTATTTTTTAAAGAAATTATATGATATTTTATTTAAATATAAATGAAAATTAAAAATAATATATTTGGTTAATATATATGTATTTCTTTAACTAATAAATATATAATATGTTAGGACAAATGATTTTAGACTCTATAAATTTTAAGTTTTAATGATAACAAATATAGACATTTTTTTAGAGATTTTTTTTATAGATAAATTAATAAGACGAATAAATTAAAATGATTGGTTATCTTGATATTAAGTATAACCAATGAAACATTTCATCTGTAAGACACTTATTTTGAATTCATATTATTTATGATGTCTAATAACTAAATCAATCTTTGTTCACATGATTCCTTAGTAGATTGAAGTGAAATAGTTTCTTTTGCACCCACAAATTACAAAAGAGAAGGAATACATATTTTGCATCAGAAAAAGATGAGCATATTCCTTGAATCATGGAATTTCTCAAAAAAAAAATAAAATACTTTTATGAATAATTAAATTAAAAGTATTTTTAAATATTAGAATAATTTTTTTTAACGTAAAAGGGGAGAGCGGTGTAATATTTTATCTCTCGTGAGAATAATGTAATTTACTGTATATTTTAACTTTTTTCTCATTAATATATATTTAAAGATGTAATACGAAAAAAAAAATGAAGAAAAAATAACTACTCATTTTGTTAATAATAATGATCTTTTTTAATTGAAGAGTATTTTATAGTCTCTGTTATGTGACTTAATGATTAATGATCACCAATTCCAGAGCTATTATATATGTCTTGGTAGCATTTTTAAGCGCGTGGATTACTGGATCCTGTCCAGTAGGAGAGACACATAAAGAAAGGGTTAATGTTAAATTTTTATCAACTATTTTATGCTAGTGTATTTCTCTTGTTAGAAAATTCATATGCTGGTGAGGATATTCTTGTGTTTTTTTTTTTTTAAGGTTTTGGTTTCTTTGGTACATCTAAAAGTCTAAAATTGTGAGAAGAAAAATAAACCCTAAATTAAGGGTGATCTTATAAAAAATTTAACCATAACCAAAATTAATTAGTTTTATAATAATTGGTTAATTAAAAACTATTGCAAAAAATTAACTTTTATTTTTTAAGTTAAAATTTCGTTATGTATATTTTTTGATTGGTCGAATATGATTAGGTACAATTTTTATAACCGGTTAATTTTAATTAAGATTATCGATTAGTATTTTGATAGGTAAGAGCCTTTTAAGAGTTCAAAATGTGAAATTATTTTTTTAGAAAATAAAAAATTTACTTAACTAATATTCAGACATAAAAATGCTGAACAATTTCAAGGATACACGTTTTGTTGGAACTAGTAAACACTAAATATTAGAAATTTTTATAACTAATGTAACTGGACTATGAATTTGGTCTAATGTGTCATGCTTTTCCTTTATTTTTATAATTTTAAAAAAATTATTTTTATATTATTTTTTTTATTAATACTTTTTTCTCTTAATCAATTACAATATATATCTCTATATTACTTTTTTCTTCATAATTAATATTGTTCTCTCCTAACCAATTATAATGTATGTCTTTTAAATTAATATATCTTATCAAATTAAGTAAATTTATTTAGTTAAAAATATTTTAATCTAAAAATAATTAGTACATAAAATAATATAAATTCAGTCTTATATATAACAAAAACAAACAATGTTAGGTATTAACAAATAATTGTTCTATATTAGATATTATAAATTATAAACAAAAAGAATGGATGATGAAAAAAAATTAAATTAAAACACTAACTGATCTACAATGGAAAAAAATTGAATTACGGTCATTACATAAAAGTCTTAATATTGGTTTTAAATTCCTTAAAAATGAGTAATAAGATTTTTCACATTTCTTTGTATTATCATGTGTTTTTAGATATAAAATATTTTTTTTGTCTTATCAGGTTTATTTTATTTTAGCCTGCACTTAGCCTAACCTATATAACCGTGTAAACTAAAACTAATTATTTAGAACCCTACAGAGGTTAAAAACCGAATTTGATAGATTGGATTACACAAGAGAACCAAGATATTCAAAAGAAAGAAAGAGCGACAGAAAGAGAGTGAGATAAAGATCCGAAACCGCATTTCGATCCGAAACCCTTTTCCAAAACCCTTTCCGAAACCGCACTTCGATCCGAAACACATTGAAACCGCACTTCGATCCGGAACCCTAACCTAAGTTAACGTGCGTCGATGGAGCTTCGTTCTGGTTGAGGACTTTCCAATCCCATAGTTTCTGGTAGACGTAATCTTTCTGATTTTATCTTTTACTTTCTTTTTCACAATTTCGGAACTTCTTTATTTTCTTTACTCTCTAGTTGGACGCAGGCCTTTTCATGAACCATTTTTTTTTTCTTAATTTCATTTTTCTTGTTTGTTACTTGAATCTGTTTTGGTTGTGCTATTTTTCTTTTTGTGTTTATGCGAAGCGCGATTTCGAGATTTTTGATCGGTTGAAGTTTTGAAAACAAGAAGACTCAGACGCTGTGTCAATTTCAGGGTATTATCACACTGCTCTTCATGTTGCCGCGTGTGAGGTATTCACTGAGGTCGTTGAGTTTTTGATCCAGAAAGGTGCCGAAGTTGACGCCAAGGATCGATGGGGAAGCACGGTAATACCTACACTTTTTTTTTTTTTGATTTGGTTTAGTACCGTAAGTGATTGTGAATTTGTGATTTGATGTTTGGCTATTGGCATGGTTTGGTTGTGTTGTTAATTCCGGTTTCGTGTGACAAAAGCCAATAACATTGCCATAGATTTTGTTTAGGGAAGGTCTAAGGTTTGGCTTCAGCCTTCAGGGTCGTTGTATCTTGATTTACTATTGTTTGACTAGTCAAAATGTCAAATGCTTTATCCTTTTGAGTGTATTTGTTCTGTGGATTGTAATGCTCGAATAAATAATAGGATGTGTTGTAGATTAAGTTAGAGGCATTTTGTGGACATAATTGTGTTGCACTTTGCACGGGGTGGTTGACTAATTGTCTAGGCTTGAGTTTCTTTTATTGGAACAAGTTTAAGGCTACGCTTGAGTAAACTTCTGCATAATCACTTCTAAGGAAAAAAAATAGGAAGTAAAATTGAAATAAACTTTACCATAAGTTAAAATCAGCCTTATACATAAGTTAAAAATAAGATTTTGGTGAAGCGAATAAAAGAAAAATTCTACAAATTAGTTTATACATAAGCTAATTACAACTTTTTGAAGAATTTATTTCATTTTATCTTCCTATTTTTTTCTCTCCTAGAAATGTTTTTGGAGAAGATTATCCAAATAGGCCTTAAGTTAGCTTCCCCTCTTATCAAAAGGACTTTGATCTTACATTTGGTTACACTAGCGTTTATTTGGCAGGGTGTTTCCATATCTGAATTTCAAAAGCAAATACTTCTATTGCATGTTGTCTACGCGCTTGCCTGGTTAATAAAAACCGTATGACATGAGTAAATGTCAAGAGGATATAAGTGAAGTAAAACATTGAAAATGTGATTGATCTTGTGGTGTAAATTGTAATAGGTTTCTTTCTGCTTGATGTGTTGGACTATTAATTGTAATTGTCCTTATCCTTATCCTTAGTTTAATTCCTAATGAAGTGATAAGAAGTTTCTGCTTAAATTTTTCTGTAGTCTTGTCTTCAAACTCCTCATTTTCCTCTTCTTTGTATTCTGTAGTGAGTAGTGACTGTTCCATGGTCTTCTGTACGGGCTACTTTCGATTTTTTTTTTTTTTTTTTTTTTTTTCAAATTTTATTGTGTGGATTGGAAAGCAGGGAAGGAGGAGCAGCCTAGGGATGATGTTGTTGTTGAAGATGAAACTAATGGCAGGTTTCTATTGTATCTTCATATTTGAATATAGTTTATGATCCTGATTCAGGTTCTGACTTTGAAGGTAAATTGTTTGACTCTCAGATTTTAAACTCTGAATATCTTAATTTCTTTGCACGTCTAGTAGTTTGAGTTTTTCTTGTCACAAGATTTCACGGTCACATTCCTGTCTCAAGTTTTCCTTTATTTTTTTTTCTACATAATTCTTGATATATAGATCCATAGGGAGAAAAAAAATAAAATCAAAACACTTGCCATTTAGCCGTGAATTCTGCCTAGCTTCCTGGAAATATAATTTGGATGCATTAAATCAAAGCAATAAAATTAAAAAAAATAAATAAATAAGTTTGTTAATATTCAATTTAGTCCATGAAAGTGACATCTTGAATTGCTTTGGTCCTTAAAAAGTGCATGTCTATATTAGTCCTTTAAGGGATGTACTTGTTTACAAGTTGAACACTTATAAGTAGGATAAACTTGTTACCAAATTGACACTTTTGATAACCATTTATATAGAAGAAATATTTCAAGGATGAAAGAACACAAGTGCTTTACTTTCGGAGACTAAATTGTGTATTAATTCAAGTAAATTTAATATATAAGGATGAGGTATGTTTAAGCAACCTTCATAATAATGGTTTCTTTTTTCCATGTTTGGACACCCTTTAAGAATGCATTGACTGAAAGGCCTGTTACACATCCAGAGTCCAGACTACATCATATGATAAGTAAGCAAAGAAGAAAAAAAACTAGAGCACAGATTCAACCTTAAGCAATTCATACCTATGAAAACTACTATTAACAAAGTTGTTAGCATCCAGTCAGGGAAAATCACATTGAAAGCAACTCCAATACTGATTCCAAGCATCAACATTGGTTGAAAAAGAAGTGCTAAGTCATAGTCAATCACAGGCATGTCAAGAGTTGGGTGTCTTTGCCTCAAATTGTAGAAAACGGTTGCTCCCGCTCCACCCGTAATCATGCCTTCAACAAAAAAAAACAAAAATACAGAATTCACCCATATAAGGGTCCAAAGAAGTACAATATGATCATGGATAATTCAAAATTGACAACATGCTCATATTGTATCTAATTTGAGTAGCCATGGTCAGAACAAGCTTAAAACTTGTCACAATCACAAAGCAAATGTGTTTTTAGTAGAGTTTTACAAAGGATATTTTGTCCTTTTTGGTTTAATTATTTTGATATTTAACATATACACTACAGAAAATGAGTGCACATTAGTCCTTGCTAGTGTTTAACCTTTTTTTTTCTATTAAGAATTATATTTGTTACGTAAAATAAAATAGAAGCATCCTTGAGATAGGTTTCTCTATGTTCGATCTTCAACGTGGCCCAATACTTTAACGGGGTCATTTTTTAGAGGACAAATTACTTATTGTAATTTTGCACCTTTTCAATACACCCTTCTATACTTTTCGGTATCACTAATTTTGCTTGCTATACTTTTCTTTATTACTTTTAACCTTAACGTTAAAGAATGTTTAATGATAAAAAAAAAAAAGTTTATAAAAAACAAAAAAATTGACAAAGGATAACATTAAATGTAATTTATTCTTCTTTAAAAACCAAATTTGACTCGATCATGACTCATGATCCAACTAGTGAGGATGTCAAACTTAGGTAAACTCGGATGCATTAAACACTTTATAGGTCTTGGGTTTTTATCTTGCTGTTGAATTAAAAAAAATAAATAAATAAGTTTGTTAATATTCAATTTAGTCCATGAAAGTGACATCTTGAATTGCTTTGGTCCTTAAAAAGTGCATGTCTATATTAGTCCTTTAAGGGATGTACTTGTTAATAAATAAATAATAAAAGTGAAAAACTAATTTACACTATTGAAATTAAAAAAGTTTAAGGAAGAAAAGACAAAAATAGTATTATCAAATTGATTTCTCTACTATTTAATTGCCACTTTTTAGTTAGTATTATTCTGTTGTAATTTTTTTTAATAAGTTTCTTATATTTTTGGATGTAGCAGAAAATAGTCTCCCACTAAATAATGTATTTTTTGTGTGTTAATTGTCAAGTTTATTTGTGTCACTTACAATAATTACTAAGTAAATTTGAATTCAAATAGAAAATAATATAACTTTTCCAACAAATAAATGAATAAGTTAAACAATTAAGGTGAATGAATTATATTCAAAGGTTTAACTAATTAATATCAAATTAGATTTATGAAAAAATTTAAAGGAATTCAATTACTAAAATATTTGTATTAAAAAATTTATAAATCAGAAACCTAAACTACAGGTAAAAAAATATATTCTAATGGCATTTACAGAAAAAATTGAAAATATGAATGAAAGACTTGATATATTTATGAAAAAATTGAAAATATATTCATAATTACGACTGATGAAAATTTATCGGAAAATGGAATCCATTTTGTTCACTATATCACTTCAGAAGTGAAACCTCTTCTGATAGTGAGCATGAAACATCTCATCGTTCAAATAGGCACAAAAGGAGCGACAGACCAAAGAAGGTGATTTGTTGGTAACACACTTTTTCTTAGTTTATAATCTTTCTCAATATACCGGTTTTAAAATTGAAAAAAATAAAATTGCATATTTTACCTATAATAAAATAGAAAAGAATTGAATAAAATTAATAATATAAAGCAAATATTAAAAAATATTAGCCAAGAAAAATTACAACTAAAAATAATAAAATTAGGAAGAAAAAAGTATTCACTTATCCTAAATGTTATTATTATTATTTTTTTATAAATAGGCACCTAAACGTTAGTTTTATCTTAATAAATCTTAAAAATTTATCTTGTTTTAAAATTAATATGATAAAATTTAATTTTATCTCGATTAATCCTTAAAACTTATTTTTTTTAAAATAATAAACACTTTCAATTTTAATTTCATTATAATTATTGAATTGCTTTGGTCCTTAAAAAGTGCATGTCTATATTAGTCCTTTAAGGGATGTACTTGTTTACAAGTTGAACACTTATAAGTAGGATAAACTTGTTACCAAATTGACACTTTTGATAACCATTTATATAGAAGAAATATTTCAAGGATGAAAGAACACAAGTGCTTTACTTTCAGAGACTAAATTGTGTATTAATTCAAGTAAATTTAATTTATAAGGATGAGGTATGTTTAAGCAACCTTCATAATAATGGTTTCTTTTTTCCATGTTTGGACACCCTTTAAGAATGCATTGACTGAAAGGCCTGTTACACATCCAGAGTCCAGACTACATCATATGATAAGTAAGCAAAGAAAAAAAAACTAGAGCACAGATTCAACCTTAAGCAATTCATACCTATGAAAACTACTATTAACAAAGTTGTTAGCATCCAGTCAGGGAAAATCACATTGAAAGCAACTCCAATACTGATTCCAAGCATCAACATTGGTTGAAAAAGAAGTGCTAAGTCATAGTCAATCACAGGCATGTCAAGAGTTGGGTGTCTTTGCCTCAAATTGTAGAAAACGGTTGCTCCCGCACCACCCGTAATCATGCCTTCAACAAAAAAAAACAGAAAAATACAGAATTCACCCATATAAGAAGTACAATATGATCATGGACAATTCAAAATTGACAACATGCTCATATTGTATCTAATTTGAGTAACCATGGTCAGAACAAGCTTAAAACTTGTTACAATCACAAAGCAAATATGTGTTTTTAGTAGAGTTTTACAAAGGATATTTTGTCCTTTTTGGTTTAATTATTTTGATATTTAACATATACACACTACAGAAAATGAGTGCACATTAGTCCTTGCCAGTGTTTAACCTTTTTTGTTTTCTATTAAGAATTATATTTGTTACATAAAATAAAATAGAAGCATAATACCAAATTATTAGTTTTTCTTTTATGTATTTTTAGTTTCTGTTAGCTTTTTTTGTTTTAGTTTTAGTTTAGTTTTATTTTCTGTTTTGTACAAATAGGTATTCTTTTCACTTTTGTAGCCAATCTATCATAATACAATATTTTTCTTTCTTTTGGTTCTCCCTCTCTTTTTTTTCCTTTTCTTTAAAACCTGTTATGGTATAGGAAAGCTCTGCTGCGCATCTTCATCAGTTTCATGGATATCGACTTTACCTTGGAGGACATGAAAGACCCCCACAAGTCCATACTACATTCATCCCAATGAGAATCCTTCAATGGTTCTTGTATCTCCACCTCTTACAGATACCAACTATCACACTTGGTCTAGATCAATGATGATGAGCTTGTTGACAAAGAATAAAGAAGGTTTCATAGATGGAAGCATTCAAGAACCAAGTGCCAATAGTTCTATTCGTGCATTCTGGCAGCGCTGCAATACTATGGTTCTTGGATGGTTAGTTCGTTCGATAAGTGCAGAAATTGCCCAATCAATTATATGGAGAAGCAAAGCATCAGAGGTTTGGGCAGAATTAAAGGAAAGATTATCACATGCAGATCTTTTTAGAATTTCAGAAATTCAAGAAGAAATCTATAGCCTTAAGCAAGGTGATCTATCAATTACAAAGTATTATACGAGTATGAAAACCTTATGGGATGAGCTTGAAATCTTGGATCCTATACCCACCTGCATATGCAACGCAAAGTGCACCTGTGATGCTCTCATGAATCTCAACAAGCATAGAAATACTAAAACTACGGTGAGATTTTTGAGAGGTTTGAATGAGCAATATTCCACCGTAAGGTCCCAACTCCCAAATCATGCTCATGGACCCTCTTCCTCCCATCAACAAGGTATAGTCTCTTGTTGCACAGCAAGAAAAACTAACCAATTAATTTGGTATTAAAGCAACCTTGAGATAGGTTTCTTTGTGTTCGATCTTCAAAGTCATTTTTTAGAGGACAAATTACTTATTGTAATTTTGCACCTTTTCAATTCACCCTTCTATACTTTTCGGTATCACTAATTTTGCTTGTTATACTTTTCTTTATTAGTTTAACCTAAACGTTAAAGAATAATGTTTGATGATAAAAAAAAAAGTGTATAAAAAACAAAAAATTGACAAAGGATAACATTAAATGTAATTTATTCTTCTTTAAAAATCAAATTTGGTCAAAAAGAAAACAATCATCACCATAATTGATAAGCTAAATTACTATAAAAAAAAGTTTAATTTGGTCCTTTCGATTCAATTGAGACTATGACATTAACTCTATGAAAACGTGGCACAATAATAAAATGACACATACTTGTCATGTGTACAAGAAATCAATGTTGCTAATGTCAATTGAACAGAAAGACAAGACTATATTGAACTAATTAAACAAAAAGATTAATTTATCCTAATTAAGATTATAGCATATGAAAAAAAATTGATATTATATTGGTGGGAATTAACAATAATTTGGCATTTGTTTGGGATTTAAAAATTTCAGAAAATAATTCGATAACTTTGGGATTTAAGATTTATTTAATAATCCAGAGGTTAAGTCATAAATAATAATAATATGAGATTTAGAATTTAGGATTTATTTAATTATATTCAAGAAATATTTCAATAATTTGGGATTTAGAATTTATTTAATCATTCAGAAGTTAACTTGGAGATAATAATAATTTGATATTTAGGATAATTTTATTTAATAATTCAGGGGAGGAAATAATCCAAAATTTTAAAATTTTTGGGATTTAGGATTTACTTTAAACATTCAAAGAAAATATAATTCAAATTTATTTAATCATTAACAATAATTTGGGATTTTCAATTTATTTTTATTTAATCATTAACAATAATTTAGGATTTCTAATTTGGGGTCGGAAATAAAAATAAAGAGATTTAGAATTTAGGATTTATTTAATTATACTCAAGAAATATTTCAATAATTTGGGATTTAGGATTTATTAAATCATTTAGAAGTTAACTTGGAGATAATAATAATTTGAGATTTAGGATTTAATCATTAATGATAATTTAATGATTAACAATTATAATTTGGGATTTCGGATTTAACAATTTGGGAATCATCAACAATAATTTAGGATTTCTAATTTGGGATTTCGGATCTAAAAATTTAGGATTTATTTAATCATTTAGAAGTTACCTTGGAGATAATAATAATTCGAGATTTAGGATAATTTTATTAAATAATTCAGAGGAGGAAATAATTTATTAATAATTTATTTCATCATTAATAATAATTTAATCATTAACAATAATAATTTAGGATTTCTAATTTGGGATTTTAGGATTTCTAATTTGGGATTTTAGGATTTAATCATTCACAATAATTTAGGATTTCTAATTTGGGATTTTAGGATTTAATCATTTCTAATTATAGGGATTTGATAATTAACAATAACTTGGGATTTAATCAATAAAAGCATTTCTAATTTGGATCATTTCAAATTTGAGATTTAGGATAATTTTTATTAAATAATTCATAGGAGGAAATAATTTATTTAATCATTAATAATAATTTAATCATTCACAACAATTTAGGATTTCGGATTTCGATTTTGATCATTAAAAGGATTTCTAATTTGGGATTTCGGATAAATCATTTCTAATTTGGGATTTCACATTTAACAATAATTTGAAATTTCAGATCTAACAAATTGGGAATCAATAAAAGACCACGATTTTGATCATTAAAAGGATTTCTAATTTGGGATGGGATTTCAGATCTAACAAAGACCAATAAAAGACAACCCTAAACCCTAAACCCTAAACCCTAGTCATAGTCAATCACAGGCATGTCAAGAGTTGGGTGTCTTTGCCTCAAATTGTAGAAAACGGTTGCTCCCGCTCCACCCGTAATCATGCCTTCAACAAAAAAACAGAAAAATACAGAATTCACCCATATGTTCTAAAGTTTTCTTTTTAGGATTTTACCTCTATGGTAAGGAGCTAGACTCCAAATTTTCTTGGTCAACCTAATTCTTGTTTATGTCTTTTGGTTGCATACCCCACTTCCTTTTATGGCCGCTGTTCAAAGAAATTTTGGCAAGTTTGGAATTAAAGAAATAGCCAGAACTGGAAAGGTTGAGTAGATAAGAAATTCCTTAACTTTTGTATCTTGTCCACTTTGTTGAGTGTTACTAGTATATCGTAGGCTGTGCAAAATTAACTAATTCATTATTATCTAATGATGTAACCATGGTTGTCAATCTCTAGTGACAACTCGTAAACTCGAATGTGTTTTTAGTAGAGTTTTACAAAGGATATTTTGTCCTTTTTGGTTTAATTATTTTGATATTTAACATATACACTACAGAAAATGAGTGCACATTAGTCCTTGCTAGTGTTTAACCTTTTTTTTTCTATTAAGAATTATATTTGTTACGTAAAATAAAATAGAAGCATCCTTGAGATAGGTTTCTCTATGTTCGATCTTCAACGTGGCCCAATACTTTAACGGGGTCATTTTTTAGAGGACAAATTACTTATTGTAATTTTGCACCTTTTCAATACACCCTTCTATACTTTTCGGTATCACTAATTTTGCTTGCTATACTTTTCTTTATTACTTTTAACCTTAACGTTAAAGAATGTTTAATGATAAAAAAAAAAAAGTTTATAAAAAACAAAAAAATTGACAAAGGATAACATTAAATGTAATTTATTCTTCTTTAAAAACCAAATTTGACTCGATCATGACTCATGATCCAACTAGTGAGGATGTCAAACTTAGGTAAACTCGGATGCATTAAACACTTTATAGGTCTTGGGTTTTTATCTTGCTGTTGAGCATGGTTTGTATACTTGTTTGAAATTCCCTTGTACACCTATTTTGATTATAATTGAACTTGATTGACTCTTGTACTTGTGCTCTTTACTTCTTACATTATGGAGTTTTTTCGTGTAAAAAACTTGGTGTCTCTTGATTAATCTATATACGTTATTCAATTTTGTCATATATACTTGATAGATTGTTTTCCATAGATTCTTACAAGTGAGAGGATTTATCTTTTGTTGCTCATTAATCATTAAATATTGTTGTTGTCCCCTAACAGGAATATATATATAGCTAGATTTATTATTTAGTTGAATTAGAATAAATATTATAAACTTTAAATTAAGATTGAAAATGAACCGGTTCGAGGTGAATCAATCTCAAATTGATAAAAAAAAAAAAAAAAAAAACATCTCAAAGTCTAAGTTTGACCCAAGTTTAATATGATTTTAAATATAATTTATATACTTAAATATAATTTTAATTTATATAAATTTTTAATATAATTTATATATTTGATATTTATTTGTATATATAATCTATTATAAGTTTTATTATATATAATGAATATTTAGCCTATATAATACTAGTATAAAATTAATCTAATTCTATATAATTCATGTTTAACTCATTTATTTAATGAAATCAAGTGTTGAACATCAAGAATTTGATTTGGCCTTAACTTCAAATTTGGATGCAGAACCTGAACCATTGAACCAACAATATAATATCAATTTTTTTCATATGCTATAATCTTAATTAGACTAAATTAATCTTTAATCTCTTTTTTTATTTAATTAGTTCAATTTAGTCTTGTCTTTCTGTTCAATTATGTGTCATCATATTATTGTGCCACGTTTTCATAGAGTTAATGTCATAGTCTCAATTGAATCGAAAGGACCAAATTAATTTTTTTTCAGTAATTTAGCTTATCAATTATGGTGATGATTGTTTTCTTTTTGTCCCCTTGTGTTTCAGGTCCCGATCACTGTTGGAACAACTTTATATGAAGCCGTGCTTCTATACAAAGGGCAGAGAGTGATATCCTCAAAGGGTGATCAACAAACACGTTTGAGTGTACGGCAATTATTTCTATATTGCACTTGTGGCATACTTGCTGGCATAATTGGTGGTTTGCTTGGCCTTGGTGGAGGATTCATCTTGGGACCCCTTTTCATTGGATTAGGAATTCCTCCTCAGGTACGTATGTTTTATCCTTGTATGACTATTTTAATGTTGGTCCACTTGGAACTCACTCATTGGGATTTTTTTCTACCAAGGTTTCAAGTGCTACATCCACTTTTGCAATGACATTTTCTGCATCTATGTCAGTGGTAGAATACTACCTTCTCAAACGTTTCCCGATTCCTTACGGTAAGTACGGATCAACGGACATTAATTAAAGGAATTACAGGAGTAATTCTATCATTTCCACGTGCACACACATAGTTAGGCCCTAGTGATTAATTACTTGGTTAAAAGAAAGAATAAATGATATATGTAGTAACAGAATAAATAGTGTAATATTATCATAAGCTGTCATGTCATGCAAAGTTACTTGACTTTTATACCAGACTGTTGTGAAATATAGTGGAGGATTATGTTTCCGATGGTGGTGTGGCAGTTCCGGTGATGGCGATACCAAGTTCTTGTGGTGATACTACAAGGACTTCAGCATATAGATCAAGTATATTCAAAAGAGAGTGAATACATAGTGTAGGAGTCTCTTTATATAAGGTCATTTATGCGAAAAAGTTTTGTTACGTAGTTATGTTATGTGGCTATTGTCATTGTTAATTCATGTGTCATGTGTTAAGTCTATTTTTTTAACGTAAAACCTTAATTCGGTTTTATCTAAGACTCATATTAGATAAATCCTGACTAGTTATATCTTTTAAAGGGGTAGATCGAACATAAGTTGGACCGACCTCCACAACAAAGATGATATCTTTTATTTAGATAACTATTAAACTAAAATCTAAAAGAAGGAGGTTGTTACACTATAAGTACAAATTAAATTACTTGCTAATATGTTTGATTATCTTGCAGCACTTTACTTTGTAGCTGTAGCCACTGCTGCTGCACTTTCTGGGCAGCATTTGGTGAGAAAGCTTATTGCTATACTGGGGAGAACCTCTTTGATCATTTTCATCCTTTTGTTCGATCTTCAACGTGGCCCAATACTTTAACGGGGTCATTTTTTAGAGGACAAATTACTTATTGTAATTTTGCACCTTTTCAATACACCCTTCTATACTTTTCGGTATCACTAATTTTGCTTGCTATACTTTTCTTTATTACTTTTAACCTTAACGTTAAAGAATGTTTAATGATAAAAAAAAAAAAGTTTATAAAAAACAAAAAAATTGACAAAGGATAACATTAAATGTAATTTATTCTTCTTTAAAAACCAAATTTGACTCGATCATGACTCATGATCCAACTAGTGAGGATGTCAAACTTAGGTAAACTCGGATGCATTAAACACTTTATAGGTCTTGGGTTTTTATCTTGCTGTTGAGCATGGTTTGTATACTTGTTTGAAATTCCCTTGTACACCTATTTTGATTATAATTGAACTTGATTGACTCTTGTACTTGTGCTCTTTACTTCTTACATTATGGAGTTTTTTCGTGTAAAAAACTTGGTGTCTCTTGATTAATCTATATACGTTATTCAATTTTGTCATATATACTTGATAGATTGTTTTCCATAGATTCTTACAAGTGAGAGGATTTATCTTTTGTTGCTCATTAATCATTAAATATTGTTGTTGTCCCCTAACAGGAATATATATATAGCTAGATTTATTATTTAGTTGAATTAGAATAAATATTATAAACTTTAAATTAAGATTGAAAATGAACCGGTTCGAGGTGAATCAATCTCAAATTGATAAAAAAAAAAAAAAAAAAATCATCTCAAAGTCTAAGTTTGACCCAAGTTTAATATGATTTTAAATATAATTTATATACTTAAATATAATTTTAATTTATATAAATTTTTAATATAATTTATATATTTGATATTTATTTGTATATATAATCTATTATAAGTTTTATTATATATAATGAATACTTTGTTGGTTTGGACACAAGTGGAGAGCTAAATATTTAGTGGATTTTGTGTTCTCTAGTAGTATCTGAATAATAAAGAGTATTCTGAAACTCGACTATTTTGCACTAGCCTTATTTTAAAAACCTAACTTGTTCCAGAATTCCAATCGAAAAACTTTCTATCAGGTCTTATTTGCATAAATCCTTATCTTCCTTTCTTTGTTTCTTCCTAATGTATTTTACCATTGAGAAAAAGATTGATAGAGTGCATAAATATTTGACCATTTTTAACATTAAAAAAATATGGCCATTTTATACATTTCCATTAACGGATATTTCTTCAGGTTCGTGATATCACCCACTTGCCATTTGCTGAGCGATAGGTGATGCTAATAAAAATTGCTGTAAATGCTGCTGCACGGCGCGATGTCCTTGATATTGCCAGCATTTTCCGGGCTAAAGCTGTCGATGTATCTGATCACACAATAACTCTAGAGGTGAATTTTATGTAGACTTTTCAACCAAGTGATATAGTATCTTATTTAACATCAACTTATTTGATACTCAAACATGGTGAATACTGCTTTCCCCTATTTAGTGACTATAGGGTTCTTACAAATTGCACTTAAACCAATATATTTTAGCTGAATAATACGGTGCTACGAGGTCGTAGGATCCTGCATTATTATTAGTTTAATGTCTATTGGATGAAAATTTGTCCCAACAGTCAACAAAGCTACCACCAATTAGGCAGGGGATCAGAGCTGCTATCATATAGTTTTTTCAAGGTCATGAAAATAGATACCATTAAGCAATTTATCCAGCATCCTAACGTGTTAAGAATCATTCTATGCCCACTGTCTGCAGCATTACACATCCGTTTTCTCTCTTTATTGTGATGATCAGCTATCAGTCAGCAACAGAAGTGTTTGTTTTCTTCTAATCTTAACAAATACAATTGTAGGTTTAAATAACAATTGTACCCTAACCTTTATAGATCTATATTTTCCTTCTTTCAAATTAATATTATTGACAAAATTGGGGCCCTGAGATGATGTTTTTCCTCAAAAAAAGTGTAATATAGTAGAAGTTAACAACTGATGACACCATATTGATGCAAATTTGTTGGGTTGCTGCTAGGTTAATTAATAATTATTTTCTTCTTCCAACTAGACTTTGGTTATTAAGGCAGCAGATTACTTCTTTTTGCTTAAAAAGGTTAAGCTGATGAAACAAAATTGGAAATTAGATTTTTTTCTTTTTTGTATTTATTTATTTGCTTCCAAGTATTTGCATCTTTTGAAACTTCTGCCATGGTTACTTCAGATTGACAGATCCTGTATTGCTTTGAAATTGTTTCCGGAACTAATTGATATGTTGTTGCACCAGCTTACCGGAGACCTGGACAAGATGGTTGCATTGCAGAGATTGTTAGAACCATATGGCATTTGTGAGGTATGTTGTATAAGTCTTTTCACCTTGTCATATTTTGCTAAGACAGTTGATTTGTTTAAATACCTTATTCCATAGATTTCCAGAATTGAATTTGGTGCATTTAGATGCTTTTATTTTGTTCCGACGTTTTCCATTGTTTAACAAGCCAGAATACTGGTGGAAAGAAAGATGTTCTTGGTTAAGGCAGTTAGCACACCTCACTTATAGCAAACTACATGCCAATGTTGATTTTATTAAGCAGTTAGCACACTGATAGACATTATTTCAAAAACAAAATACTGAGTATTCAAAGGAGTAATATTTATATTTTTGAGTATATATATTTTATTAAAATATAAAAACTGTAGAATATATATGAAAAATATACCACAATGAATAAGTATTTTTGTGACTGTATAGATTAAATAATAACTATATAATGAAATTAATCGGATTGGGCCCAACTGGATGGTTCAACCTTGTTTTTAGACTACGGTTTTTGCACCAGCTAGCTCTGTTTATTACTTGAATCCAGTCTTTATGATGTTTGTTTATGATTGGTTGTATTTATATGATGATTATTTTTGTCGACAAATGATGAAAGAGGTATACGATCTTCTTATCCCTGATCCTGATGTCGAAAAATTGAGACGGTTATTATTAGATACATGTATTCATTGTGAAAAAATATAGGACGTGAAAGTCTTATATATTGCACTTTTGTCCCTCATCTCGGTAAAAATTGGTTGTATTTACATGATGATTATTTTTGTCGACAAATGATGAAAGAAGTATACGATCTTCTTATACCTAATCCTGATATCAAAAAATTCAGACAGTTATTATTAGATGTATGTTGTATTCATCGTGAAAAAATATAAGACATGAAAGTCCTATAGATTTGCCTTTGTCCCTCATCTCGGTAAAAATTGGTTATATTTATATGGTGATTATTTTTATCGACAAATGATGAAAGAGGTATACAATCTTCTTATGTCTGATCTTGATGTCAAAAAATTGAGAAGGTTATTATTAGATGCATGTTGTATTTGTCGTGAAAAAATATAGGGAATGAAAGTCTTATATATTGCCGTTATCCCTCATCTAGATAAAAATTAGTTGTATTTACAAGATGATTATTTTTGTCAAGAAATGATGAAAGATGTATACAATTTTCTTATGCTTGATACTGATGTCGACAAATTGAGACGGTTATTATTAGATGCATGTTGTATTCATGGTGAAAAAATATAGATCATGAAAGTCCTGTATATTTTCCTTTGTCCCTCATCTCGGTAAAATTTGGTTGTATTTACATGATTATTTTTGTCGACAAATGATGAAACAGGTATACGATTTTCTTATGCCTGATCCTGATGTCGAAATATTGAGACTTTTCTTATTAGATGCATGTTGTATTCATCGTGAAAAAATATAGGACATTAAAGTCCTATATATTGCCCTTGTTCCTCATCTCGGTAAAAATTAGTTGTATTTAGATGATTATTTTTGTCGACAAATGATGAAAGAGGTATCCAATCTTCTTATGCCTGATCTTGATGTCGTCAAATTGAGAAGGTTATTATTATATGCATGTATTTATCATGAAAAAATATAGGGCATGAAAGTCCTATATATTGCCCTTGTCCCTCATCTCAGTAAAAATTGATTGTATATACATGATTATTTTGTCGACAAATGATGAAAGAGGTATACAATCTTCTTATGCCTGATCCTGATGTCGATAAATTGAAACGGTTATTATTAAATTTATGTGGTATTTATCGTGAAAAAATATAGGGCATGAAAGTCCTATATATTGTTCTTGTCCCTCATCTTGGTAAAATTTAATTGTATTTACATGATAATTATTTTTGTCGACAAATGATGAAAGAAGTATGCAATCTTCTTATACTTGATCCTGATGTCGACAAATTGAGACGATTATCATTAGATGCATGTTATATTCAACGTGAAAAAATATATGGCATGAAAGTCTTATATATTGCCCTTGTCCCTCACCTTGGTAAAAATTGGTTGTATTTACATGATTATTTTTGTCGATAAATGATAAAAGAGGTATATAATCTTCTTATGCCTGATTCTGATGTCGACAAATTGAGACAGTTATTATAAGATGCATGATGTATTGATCGTTAAAAAATATGGGCCATGAAAGTCTTATATATTGCCCTTGTCCCTCATCTCGGTAAAAATTGGTTGTATATACATGATTATTTTTGTCGACAAATGATGAAAGAGGTATCTAATCTTCTTATGCCTGATCCTGATGTCGATAAATTGAGAAGGCTATTATTATATTTGTGGTATTTATCGTGCAAAAATATAGGGCATGGAAGTCCTATATATTGCCCTTGTCCCTCATCTCGGTAAAAATTGGTTGTATTTACATGATTATTTTTGTCAATAAATGATGAAAGATGTATTTAATCTTCTTATGCCTGATCCTGATGTCGACAAATTGAGACGGTTATCATTAGATGCATATTATATTCAACGTGAAAAAATATAGGGCATGAAAGTCTTATATATTGTCCTTGGCCCTCACCTCGGTAAAAAATGGTTGTATTTACATGATTATTTTTGTCGATAAATGATAAAAGAGGTATATAATCTTCTTATGCCTGATCCTGATGTCGACAAATTGAGACAATTATTATAAGATGCATGTTGTATTG